GATACGGCGGAACGATCTACCAGAGCTCTAAGACAAGAATTGCGCAATTGGAATAGGAGCAAGGACTTGTCATTCTTGGAAACTCATTTCGAGACAGACGGAGGGGAGGTAGTTGAACTTTCGGATGAGATAACACGCGATGTCATCGTTAAGTACATTGACAACAAGGAGCTGCGCCGACCAGAGCACAACATTGCAAGAAGACGTGCTGAAAAAGCTCAATAATTGTTTCTAAAATGCAACTATCATCATTTGTTTCGGTGTTTTTGGCTCGCTAGTTTGAAAGAGATCTTAGCTTGTCGATCAGGGATTGACGTTCTTGCAGCAGAAGGTTTCTGTCCTCCTCCAAATAGACAGGCGATCCTTCACGAGCTCGGCTAGCTGCAATTTCCTTGTCGACGTCATTTAGATGACGACGAATGTCGTTCAGCAGCGATCTAACTGCACTTTTCTCTTTGAGTTGGGATCTGGCCACCTCTCGGTCTCAATCAACTTTGGCGTGCGCTGCTTCTACCCTGCGGTCGCTTACATAGTTGTCAAATGCAATAACAAGGCGCTTGAGTGTCTCGGCGCTCTTGCGCTTTGATTTGGAAGGGGTTGTTTCCTTGGTACTTGACTCCGAGGTTTGCGAGGATTTTATTGTTAAAGTGTCGAGTTTATCCTCAGGTAGCAAGCCTCCTTTAGTAACGTTTGTCAGCTCATGCTTCACCTGCCAGTATATACCATGATTTTTACAGTGTGTAAGTATCATAAAGCACTGCAAAACTATACAATTTACGTACTGTCAGCCATTTTTGCAAGTAGAGTACGTATCCACGGCCTTGAACAAATTTCTGAACTCGTTTTCGTGCTGGACTGATGTTGTGAACTTCTTTTCAGCAACAATGTAGTGCTTATTGACGTCCTTCCACATCTCGAAAAGCTTTTTCGCTGAAAGGGCTTTAGTCACTGAGGGATCAATGTCTTTGAAGAAGTCGTCTTCAAAGTGGAGAGGATTTACCAGGTGATCTTCTGCGTACGTAGTAGCGAAGGCAGTTTGAACGTCAGCCCAGAAGCAGCTTCTGTCAATGACCTCTCTTGTATCCAATGCTGCTCGTGAAGGCTCATCTCCTAAACCAAATTCATTAGATATATTATTTTCGATAGTGATATAGCAATACGTCGTACCCGACTGACTGAAACGCGTGGCGAATTCATCAGAGAATAGCAGATTTAATAGTCGGTACATGCAGTGCCTAGTCCTGGCACCGACCGAAGCTGAGTCAATAGTGCTGGAACCGATTGAAGCTTGGAGCATGTCGTGGTGCATGAGTATCGTAATGCGTTCGTCTTTCTTGAGATTTCCCTTCACTATAAGTCCTCTACGAGTGCACTCCTTTCTAACTTCGTCTGCCTTCCATGACGAGTAGTCGACAGAGACACCATTGTTGCAGCTCTTTTCCTCTTCAGATTCATCACGTTTATCAAGCTCAACTTCCACCTGAGACCGTGCCACGAGAGACTGGAACGACTCTGAGCTGGGTGGGTGTAAAAACTATACTCCAAGAGGCTGCTGTGCTTATCCACTGTGAAATCCAGCATACGTAGCGGTCTCTGGATGCGTAGGGTCAAGTGAAGGAGCCGCAGAGCACACTGAATGTGACGAATGCTCGAGAATTTGGCTCAAAGAGTGTCGCTGGACGCCCTGCTGGGGCTTTTGAGCTGACTCGCTAGGGACATTGGTAAATGAAGACATTCTTCACAGAGAGCGTCAGTTTAGCACTTATATAACCCAATTCATTAATGGGAACTCACCGTGCGCGTCTTGGTTGCTTGCCTGAGGGGGCGTTCTGGAAGTGGAGTTTTCCGTACTGAAAGGATCACTTACCTCTGTTAGGGTGCGATTTTTTATGCAGCTGGTTTTACCGCGTCGCACAGATCATTCTCAACCGATGCGGTCGCACGGTACAGAAGTGAGCGATGCGATGCCGTGCGATGCGCCCGGTTGAGAACGAGCCTTTGACCGACCTTTAGAGACGCTCTAATGATGCAAAACGACACACTTTAATAATTTTCACAAATTTAGTGCTGTTTCGTGGCTCCGGTTTGAGCACGGATAGTCCATGCATTACTGATCGCGGTACATGTCCGGTATTGAGACGGGAAGATTCCCTTGCCACAAATATTCGCGCATGATCTACATGCATTCCGATGGAATGTTAATTTGCAATTGCTGCCCATTGAATCATTCGCAAATTTGCATACGTCAAGCAGCATTTCTTGCATCTCCGGCGTGTCGTCCGCTTTAACTGCCAGATCTACTGCTCAAGATGAAGTTTCTCAAGTCTCTGCTCGATAAGAAGTCTCACAAAGGCGCCGATCGTGCAGATAATGGTGCCGTGGTGACTAGAAAGCTGCCTCCCATCGACTTGACACGGACGACTCGTTCTATCACGAGCGCTGACAACGGGAAGAAGAAACCCAGAATCGGGAAACTCACGCTGTATATGCTGCTGTCCGATATTTGATTCCGCCAGTTTGTGTCCAATTGACAAGCATCAATAAACTACGAATCATTATAACACTTTTTTTCATTTGTTAAAATAACTAAGCTCTGCGCTAAGAAATTATGCCCAGAAGCCGCTTGCTGCATCCAGCGAGCAGAACCATAGGTAGCGCTCGAGATCTGCTAACAGGTCGTCGACTAGCGGCATTGCATACTCCATGATCGCGGTGATAGCATTCACCATCTTGTAATCAATGCAGAGCCGGATGTCCAGCCCGTTCTTTTTCATCACAATCACGATCGGCGATGCCCATGGACTATCTGAAAAGACGATCAGTCCTGTTCGCAGCAAAGCGCGCAGCAGCTCGTACAGCTTGCCGAGAAATCGTAGCGGCACGCGCCATGCACGTTGTTTAATTGGGGCGTGCCCCTGTGTGTCGATATCGCATACCGCGCCGTAGGATGGCGGCGGCAGTGCGTTATCACTAGCAATCAGGATCTGCTCGTGGTTCTTCAGCGTCGCGACCAGACGATCTCGGTGATCAGTCGACAACTTAGGATCAGCAACATTAGACGCAGTGTAGTCTATTGTCGTGCTGAACTCTTCGGTCAGGTCCGACAGGAATGCCAGCTCCTTCGCGTAGTCTGCCAAGCCAATGTTGTTAACTGGGTGTGACCCGGTGATGTTTGTGACGGCTGATGTGAACCACTTGGGGATTCATTAGCTTCGCTCGGGGATGACGCCGACTGTGGCGATCTTCGGAGCCGGCCGTGCTGTGTGTTGGGAGGCGATGGGGTATGGCATACGGCCGTCTCCATCGAAGTACGGTTTCTATCCAGACTTGGCGAGCTCTCCAGTTGTCGAGGAGAAGCAGAAACAACTGCTCCTAGTTGAGGTGTCTCCGG